GGGCTGGGGAGTGTGCTGGGATCAGGCTGGGAAGCGTGCTGGAATGGGGCTGGGGAGTGTGCTGGGATCAGGCTGGGAAGCGTGCAGGGATGGGGCTGGGAAGTGCTCTGGAATGGGCTGGAAAGCATGCTGGGATCAGGCTAGGAAGCGCTCCGGAATGAGGTTGGGGAGTGTACTGGGATCAGACCGGGAAGCATGCTGGGACTGGGCTGGGGAGTGTGCTGGGATCAGATCGGGAAGCGCTCTGGAATGGGCTGGGAAGCATGCTGGGATCAGGCTAGGAAGTGCTCCAGAATGGGGTTGGGGAGTGTGATGGGATCAGGCCGGGAAGCGTGCTGGGACCGGGCTGGGAAGCGTGCTGGGACTGGGCTGGGGAGTGTGCTGGGATCAGGCTGGGAAGCGCTCTGGAATGGGGTTGGGAAGTGTACTGGGATCAGGATGGGAAGCACTCCGGAATGGGCTAGGGAGTGTGCTGGGATCAGGATGGGAAGTGTGCTGGGATCAGGATGGGAAGCACTCCGGAATGGGCTGGGAAGCGCTCTGGAATGGGCTGGGAAGCATGCTGGGATCAGGCTAGGAAGTGCTCCAGAATGGGGTTGGGGAGTGTGATGGGATCAGGCCGGGAAGCGTGCTGGGACCGGGCTGGGAAGCGTGCTGGGACTGGGCTGGGGAGTGTGCTGGGATCAGGCTGGGAAGCGCTCTGGAATGGGGTTGGGAAGTGTACTGGGATCAGGATGGGAAGCACTCCGGAATGGGCTAGGGAGTGTGCTGGGATCAGGATGGGAAGTGTGCTGGGATCAGGATGGGAAGTGTGCTGGGATCAGGATGGGAAGTGTGCTGGGATCAGGATGGGAAGTGTGCTGGGATCAGGATGGGAAGTGTGCTGGGATCAGGATGGGAAGCACTCCGGAATGGGCTGGGAAGCGCTCTGGAATGGGCTGGGAAGCATGCTGGGATCAGGCCGGGAAGTGCTCCGGAATGGGGTTGGGGAGTGTACTGGGATCAGGCCGGGAAGCGTGCTGGGATGGGGCTGGGAAGCGTGCTGGGACTGGGTTAGGGAGCACACCAGGACGGGGCTGGGAAGCGAGCCTGGGCTGGGGTGGGGAACATGCCGGTGTTGGGCTGGGAAGCGCACCGGGACTGGGCTGGGAAGCGTGCCAGGACTGCGGTGCGGAGCGTGCCAGGACCAGGCTGGGAAGTGTGCTGGGACCGGGCTGGGAAGCGCACTGGGACGGGGCTGGGAAGCATTCTGGGATCAGGCTGGGAAGCGTGATGGTGGCAGGCTGGGAAGTCCACTGGCACCGGGCTGGGAAGCATGCTGGGACCAGGCTGGAAGTGCGCTGGGATCGGACTGGGAAGCACACTGGGATTGGGCTGGAAGCGTGCTGGCACTGGGCTGGGAAGCTCACCGGCACCAGGCTGGGAAGCGCACCGGGATTGGGCTGGGAAGCACACTGGGATCAGGCTGGACAGCACACTGGGATCTGGCTGGGAAGCTCACTGGGACTGGGCTGGGAAGTGCACTGGGATCAGGCTGGGAATCTCACTGGGCTGGGAAGCTCACTGGCACCAGACTGGGAAGCACAGCAGGATCAGGCTGGGAAACACACCGGGATCGGGCTGGGAAGCTCACTGGGATTGGGCTGGGAATCTCACTGCGAAGCACACTGGGATTGGGCTGGGAAGCGCATTGGGATCGGGCTGGGAAGCGCACTGGGATCAGGCTGCGAAGCACACGGGGATTGGGCTGGGAAGCGCACTGGGATCAGGCTGGGAAGTGCGCTGGGATCAGGCTGGGAAGTGCGCTGGGGCTGGGCTGGAAAGTGCACTGGGATTGGGCTGGGAAGCTCACTGGGACCAGACTGGGAAGCTCACTGGGACTGGGCTGGGAGACACACCGGGACTGGGAACAACTGGGAAGCTCAGCACACTGGGAAGCTCATGGGGACTGGACTGGGAATCGCGCCGGCACCGGGCTGGAAGTGGGCAG